GCCTTAAATAATAGCCCTGATACTATAGGAGACTTACAGTTATTACGTGGGAGCCTGTTCTACCTATTGTTCAGTGGTGCTTGAGTTTCACTATAATCTTGGAAACCAGCAAGTGATGATCTGATGCTACGTTTACTTCTCTCCTGGTTCTCACGTCCTACGTGGTCCTTCTGAAGTTTTCATTGGTGCAGACATGGTCGATTTGGTTCTGAGTAGTGTGATCCGGCGAAATACATATGGCTTTGTGTATGTGTTTGTATGGGAATGGTGTTCCACCGATGACCAGTTTGTTCGAGGCGAATCTCTTACCATTTTCGTTCCTTTCTATGTAGTCCTATGACGTCTTCGTATCCAGTGTTGTCCATTCCAGCCCTGACATTTAGGTCTTCCATCAGAATTGTCAAATCGTCTGATCAACACCTGTCGAAGATTGGCTTTAGTCTGTAGCAGAATTTATGTTTATCATCTATATTGTTAACGTTCGTGAGTGCATAGCAAAGGATGACGTTCATTGTAATATACTTTTTCTTTGTTTCGAAGGATGTTTTGATGATCCTTGGTCTATGAGATTCCCATCTTATCAGTGCCTTTTGTGCTTGTTCGGATAGCATCAGGGAAACTACTTGTGTGTGTGAGACATTTCCTGATTCATGGCCGGAGTATAACAGTAGCTCTCCTGAAGCTAGTCCCAGTTGTTTAACCTCCGTCCAATGATTTTCACTGATTGTAAGCGCCTCCAGGTTTTATCTTTTCATTTATGTACCAACTTGGAATGGTCTTCCGGTTTTATCACAATGTTTGAACGTTCCATGTACCTAAATTAATGGTTGCTTTGGTTGTCATAGGGTGAACATCGGCCTCGTTACTTACGGAGGAACTCGGCTTTCAGTGTGAGACGTCATGACTCGTCTGGCCGAACAACTTCGAACTGCCGAGGCAGAGTTTAAATGGTTGATATCTTTTTAGCATGTTGTTTTTCTACGGGATGAGGTCGCTTATCCCATGCTGAACCATAATCCTCAATCTTGGCTTCAAACTGGCATTAACCATAAAAGATCGATATCAGATACAATCATCTGAACAAAAATGGTAAAGTATGTCATCCATGTTGAACCTATTTTGAAGGCTTTGTTTTTGGAAAACCCCTCCATGTATATAATATATATTTGTGTTATGATATGACTGACTCTACTGTTTGATATTTCGGTACTTTATTTGATCCCATTTGAGATTTTATCATTTGTATATTGTTATTGTTTCTAGATCTTGTATTTATATTGAAGTTTACATGTTTCCTTCTGAACTATATATGTGCTATTTAAATTCGATATTTAATATGGCTACAGCCATATTTGGATTTGATACTGAAGCAGTAACTGACTGGAAGCACTTATTCTTCCAGTAACGGAACCTACTGTGGTGATCGGAAACTCGAAGGTGTAATATTGTTTTGGTAATTGTCTGAATTCCCTTTTTTGATTAAATACAGAACCGTTCTCTCCCAGAATTATCGTTTGGACTTGGACTGGGTGGGACGCGTATGAACCTACACCTTTCAGTTTCGGAGCGAACTGCAAGAGTAATATAATCATTTTCTAATCCATTCATCCGTTGAATAGTCTCACTGATTATAAAATGAAATCAAAAACTGCCATTCCTCAAACTTAATTCAAATCAAAAGCAAGAACACAGTATGAAGATAATGTCGCCAAAGACATGGAATATAAACACAAACAAACTGGGTCAATGTATTTAACTCCTTCGACATCATGTCACAAAATCTTCAGTCTTTTCCTCATCTTGTTCGCCGCTCTGATATGTCTCGTTTAGTTGTCTCTCGTGCTGACTAAATTTGCACAAATTACAGAACTTTATACATGTTGGTCATGTCAGCAAGTCTACGAGGCAGCCTGATGAAATTTGGGATCGATCTTAATCGGTCTAACCAGGAAGTTTTGCTAAATATTTCTTAAACTCAACTCTGACGAATATTAAAGACAAACAGAAGAACGACAACGATTCAGAAAATCCACAAGTGCCTCTTTGACAGTGCGACTAATTTATAAAATTTTTCACATACCTAACTGGAAACTTTAGTCTTCATAGCGGATATAGAAGACAAGAAGACCCTGTGACAACCTACACAAATATTTTTATGGGTGGCAACTCTTATTAATAACGTAAATAACCAGTTTATCGGTACAAATATAACTAGGTATCTACAGTGAGGTCAGCCCGCTATTTAGCGGAATTTACCGCATTCTGGTATACGGAATTGAGTAAAAGCAGTTAAAAACAGAGGGATTTTTTCATGCTATTCAAGAATACTGCGAAATGTTTTTACGAAGGACTTAATCACTTTTTTCTCTAGACTAACAGCTTGACTATTCTTTACCGATTCTCGTGTTCCACAAAATATTTTCTATTTTTATTTGTAGCAAATAAAGTACTTGCTCATTATGGGCAGGTTTCTTACTCGAAAACCTATGAACGGTTATGAATATTTTTATTATTCTTCGTTATATCGGGGTTTTCAGTCATAGTGAATTTCATGACCTATAATATTTTGGCTTGGTATCAAACAATTACGTTTGTGTCACAATATTGTCTTGCTCATCCCCGGAAACCAAGTGAATTAAATTTCTTGTTTACAAGAGATATTAAGCTGTAACTAATGGGCAAAACTCGTCGAGGTTATGGAAATCTGGAAGTTTTCATCGCTATTCTACCACTAACAGAAGCTTAAACACCTGAGGTGTACTGCACAGAACTTAGTGGAATAACCGTGCGTCAAAATACATGGGTCAAATCGCATTTCTAGGACACAATCTTTGAGGGTACCATGAAACTACTTATAATAAGAAGAATGGTACTGCTTTGCAAAACGTCTGCGTCTTAATACAACGCAATACATGAAACAACAAGTCGAACTAACATGAAAAGCACAAACCAAAATGGACGGATTAGATCTGTTTCGTGATTCTTTAATTTTGCGGATAAATCAATAACATATACATGATGACAGTTCAATTTATTGAAGGTGTGTTCCAACGGAAAAATGATAGAGATAGCGTTATAGGATCACTCATACTGTAACATCAAAAAACGTAAATCAGTAATATAACACCAATGTGATCGTAGTGTTCAACCGTCCTTAGGTTTGTGTCTAGCGTGAATGAAAGCTGTTTGGGTCTGTATGGTTTCACAGTTTGTAAGCTGCTTCAAATATATCCCTCAAGCTTCTGTGCCTAATTTCAAATGTTTATATCTGACAAATAAAAAACTATTAATACCGGAGGACGGTTTAGTAAAGTACAATAGACGAATTACAACAAAAAAACGATAATGACAAAATATGTGCACATAACCTTCAGATATTCATTTTCATTAAAAGAAGGTTATCAACTGTCTCTTCTCAAAGATTTCGATACAGCCTGATCGAGCTATGCATTTCAATCCCCAGATACCTCTCTGATAGTGAATTCCAGACGATGCTCTACCACATACTACTTGTATGCCACCTTGTGAGTAGCATCCACCACAATGGGATAAAGTAAACAGAATGTACGTGGACAATATTTACATCAGCAAGTATAAATAATAATTACGCCAACGCTCAGTGAAACACAGCCCTAGTAAATTAAACGATTACAACTGTTAAAAGTTATAACGGGTTACTAGTCCCAGTAGAGAAAACATTCCTACCAACTTATCCAATATGACGAACACTAAAACAACATCAATGGATGTTGTCACCAGATGCGAACAATCTAGCAATGAGTTGTTACAAAATATAGGCTGATTAAGTCTCGTCTACATCGTCACGGAAGTGTGGTTTTGTTTATTCCTGGAGATAATCGGAATTACAAACAGCCTTAATTTTATGAATCCTCCCTACATTCTGGAAACGAACTTTTTCTTGTTTCAGTATAATAAAGTAAATTTTTACGGATCCCACTAGAAATGTAACCAATGGTAGTATAAAAGGACAACTGACTAAAGAGTTAAGCTCCAGGTACTGATTAGAGCTAGTGCTGGTGTTTAGTATACAGACTACTTTTATGAACAATGTATATTCTACTCCTTAGAAACATTTCTGCAACAAGTATTGAATTACTTTCAACCTAGTAACGTTTACCAACCAAAGTTAACATAATACCATGAATCAAAGTCGTTTGCTATGGCACAGATATATCCATGCATCATTGTCTTCTCACGAATTCTAATCTTCTGACTTCTTCATGACCCTATTTTAAATTTATTTCACTGGGACAAACTTATCGAATCATTTCATCGAACCTTAATCTTTTTAATCACCGTTAATACTTCTACTATCTGTACTACAATGGTATTCGAATCGACAACTCTATTTCACTGTGCTAATGTGATCTAGCGACTTGAACTGATGTAAAAGAAAGCAAAAGAGGACACTAACCACATTCATATATACATGCAGAGATAATTTATTCCCTTACATAGAAAAGTACAAAAGTAGCGTAAACACAGAAAGTAGTTTCAACAACAAAACAAAGCTTACAATGTATATCATGTTGTATTCTTTTACAAAAATATATTATATACACATGGAAATTGAATAATTTGAACAAATAATTTTACAAATTACACTTCATTATCATCAGATGAATTGTCATTAGATGATAGAGAATTTTCTGAGTCACTATTTAATGATGATGATGATGCTGATGACGAAGACAGCGTACTTTTCTTTTCAGGTGGTAATAAACCATCCAGATATTCCATACGTTCATTGATATTAGTTAAACATAGACGACGTGATTTGACACCTTTCAATTTAGTAGTTGACAGTTTACGTTGATGTTTCGGTAATCGAAGTTCTACAGTGACATGTTTAGCATGTTCAATAAATTTCGATGTATTCCAAAATTTAATTGATCCACTAGTAGGACATGATGATGCAATGATATTTTTCATTGGATCAATAGACAGGCTTAAACAATCTGCTCCACTTATGTTATTATCTTTCATTGTGTCTATATGACATCCAATACAGCCAAGTAAACGATTCGGTAGAATATGCATAGCACTAAAAAAAAGATAATTAAATGATACTTTATCTTATCTGAGTTATAAAGAATACATTTCACAACTCTGTTAATCAATTATTTACATAACCAATGAGACAAGCACAAAAGTGACACAAGTATTAATAGTGTCATGGAGTACTGCACTGGACGGCTCTGGCGTCCTGGTATAGGACTTGTCAGCAGTGCGCATCCCTGACTCTTACTTCGCGCAGGATTTCAAGCCAGAACCTTGGGTTTTGTGCGCGAACGCTTAACCTCTGGACCACTGAGCCAAGAAGGATCTGATGCTGATGTGAAAGCGCGGATTGGCAAAGCAAGGGTTGCGTTTCTACAATTGAAGAATATCTGGAACTCAAAACAACTATCAACAAACACCAAAGCGACAATTTGCAAGACAAATGTCAAGAGAATTCTACTGTATGAGACGGAAACTTGGAGAACTACCAAAGTCATCATCCAAAAGACAGAGGCGTTTTTAACAGTTTTCTACGCAAGACACAACTCGTCTGTTGGCCAAACACCATCAGCAACAACCTACTGTGGGAGAGAACAAACCAGATTCCTGCAGCTGAGGAAGAAATCAGGAAGAAGCGCTAGAGGTGAATAGGACACACATTGATGAAAGCACTGAACTACGTCACAAGACAAGCCTTCACTAGTAATCCTCAAGGCCTAAAGAAATGAGGAATATCAAGAAACACATTGCGCCGAGAAATAGAGACAGATATGAGAAGAATGAGCAACCATAATTGGACAGAACTAGAAAGGGAGGCCCAGGACAGAGTTGGTTATGTAGAGAATACTAGTCGGCAACCTATACTCCGCTAGGGGTAACAGTTGAATGTATGTAATGGATTAGTAGTTATCAGTGATGGTGAAAAGAGACTAAATCTAGACGATATGATTCAGGAAGACAGAACAAATCTTTAGAATATAAGGTACAAACTAATTATGAAACAAATGTATCTAGACAAAGCAAACAACTCTCAGTTGTCAAACAAAATCTTGAACTATATAACTCATGAATAATTGTTAGGAGTCTAAACCAGTTAGTCTGAACCTATTATTACACATGGATTAGATCAAAAGTCAGTGACGACTCTATGAACTAATATCATACATTGATTTGAACACGTCTAGTCTATGCCAACCTATTCCTCCCATACACTATCCAACATTACTGAACAAGAAAGATGATTATTTCAGATATTTCAATACATGTTTCAACAACTCTAATAGTTGAAAAGCATATCAATAAACAAACAACATCTTACCTTATAACTCCATCATCCGTACCGACTGCAACAATATCTTCGGTAATTTTAATGATTTTCTCTACAGAATTTCCACCGGAAACCGCTGTTCTCGCTTGACCTTGTTTTGATGGTCGAAGTGGATGTATAGGGAAACGATCGCATATATTGCCAAATTCATTCCAATTAAATACAGAAATTACACCTTCATCAGTACCGACAAGAACTTTGGTATTATTCTATGAGTATGAAAAATAAACAAGGAAAAACATTCTGTGATTGATCGTAAGTCAGTTATACGTAGTGCAGAATATGACACAATGCTAAAGTTTAGATCGTTTGTGATCAATTTCTTTCATAATACAGAATATTTTTTTCGTTGTCATTAATAACTTTCCACATATTTATACGTACTTAGTCAGTCAGCTACAACGTAGAACTTGGTACATACGTACATCAGTCTAAGTTGTCATACCACATTAGTGCACAGAGATGCTGTAATCAAAAAGATTAATGATCGAATATGTCAATCGAGATGTATACCTCAAAGGAATCAGTTAAAAAAAAGAGAGAAAAAACGGTCATGAGGAATTCAGAAATTTAGAATTTCAGAGAACACAAGGAATGAATGCACCTGTACCATAGCAAACGATTATGAGCCATGTCATTCAAAGTCGCTAACCATCAGTTACTATCTTCTCGCAGACTCTAACCTGGTAGTCTACACCTACTAACATGGCTCAGTCTATTTGTCAGTGACGTCATGAATTTGTGCCAACCTACCCCAAACCACAAAACATACCTCGACAAGGCAGTCGGCGATTAGGCATATGGAACACATGTCACAACCACCTCAACTGATGAAGTTTCAATACTTCATCTATTGATCTGCTATCCTTACCTAATACCCTTTTCCTAACAACAGCATTGTTTACCAGTTTGTCTCAGGATATACAAGCAATGCTTCGAAGAAACCCATGATCGAATAATAATAATAATAGCCTACGAATATTCTCTTCTCTTACTGGTCATATTTTATATCCATAAAGTAGGATGGAACGAACTGTTGAGCAGTAGACTCATTCTTTGGTTAGCAAACGGATATCTTGCCTACACCATAAGTTGGTAAAAGTCAATCGAGCCTTTCGTATTCATGCTTAGATTTTGTCACACACCAGGCCATTAGCAATCATAAGACTTTTATTATCTTTATATGAAATAATGTAAAAGACACAAATGAGGAAAAGCAATTGTAAAATAGACAAGTCATAGAACTTTTTAAAAAAACTTATTTACTAGTTACAAAATTGTATACTTTACTTTGATCCATACTCTTAGTTATCAATTTTTCCAAACGTTTCATACACAAAAATTTAATTTGTAATATATTACTTACTTTAACAACTGTTAAAGTACGTGCACTAAATCCAAGTGTTTCTGAAGACATTTCAAAACGTCGACGTCTTATATTATACACAGCTAAAGTTCCATCATCAATAGCAGCTAACAATGTTCCATGAGAATCATTTGAAGAGACAGTCATTTCATTGATAGAATTGAAAAAATCATCAAATTTATTTTCAACATTTGGAGTCATCACTGAAACTGAACCGGATTTCCGTGCATCCCATATCTAAATAGTAAATAAGTGGGGGGGGGGGGAAAGAGAAATGATGAAAGTATTTATGCAAATACTACTGTTTGATATTGTGATAAAAAAAACTATTGAGATGTTTAAAGGATAAATTGAAACAACAGCAATGCTACCATTAGGAAGCGAGTATTAGGTAAGGATGGCAGATCAGTAGATAAAGTGGTGAAACTTCATCAGTTAAGGTGGCTGGGACATGTGTTACGAATGCACACCCACCGACTGCCTCGATGAGCAATGTCTTTGTTAGGATATTCATCCAATATCCTAAGAGAATTATTGGTCAATTCCTATTGGTTAATTCCTACTGGTCAATTTTTATGGTCGTCCTAGATATCAATGTCACGTGCTCCAATGTTATTTCTTATTGGTCGTCTTAACTGTCAATGTCACAGACTTCGATGCTGTTTCCTATTCGACCAAAATGTATAAATACGCATTATCTGTAACGTTTTATGACCACGACCAGGACCTAGTCCCGGATCCCTAGTCCGGGATCCTGATTCTCTTCTGGATTCGGACCTCGTACTTTCTGGATGCTTGTAGAATACAGATTCTACTTCATATCATGTCTTCTTATTTTCACTGAATATGGGGGTTGGGATAATCGGATTTGAGTAGCATGTTGTGTCACCGGATCCTCGATCCTCGCTCTCGTCTTCCGACTAGGTAAACTCGTAATATTTCAAGTATATCAAGTTGACGTGTTTACGTGCAGGCGTAACAGTTTTGTGGTGTAGGAGTAGGTTGGAAGAAAGCTAGGGGCAGCCAAACCAAAACATGGCACAAATCCATGAAGTCACTGACAAGTGAACTGAGTCATGTTGGTAGGTGTAGACTACCTGTTTGGAGTCCGCAAGACAATAGTAACTGATAGTTAGAGACCTTGAACGACATGGCTCAAAATCGTTTGCAATGGTGCATGTGCATCCAATCTTTGAGTTCTGCGAAATCGTAACCTTCTGAATTCCTCATCACCTCTATATTTCTCTAGATTACACTTCTTGAATAATAAAATACAAAAGAGCGTCTTAATCCCTATGTGACACAAATCATTGAATATTTAAATGGTCTACTAGGATACTATCCAAGTGTCTAAACCGAAATAGGTAGTTTCTTTAGGGATAACTCACTGAACCTTTGACCTACATGTCTAATATCTACAAGGCAAGGGTGCAGTCACGCGGTAGCTGGTGCCCGCCAATAGGTTTACACATTCCATCAAGATCTTGCAGCCCATGTGTAATTATTGCTTTGAAATCAGAGTTTTCTAATGCCTCTACGTAGATAGATCCTCTTTACTCACACACTAACGCATTCAAAATGCTGGAAACTATCTAGTAAATGTTTAATGAAATAATAAAAAAAAAATCAACCTATTCATGATATCAATAAAATATGTAGAAAAAAAAAATAAAATAAAATTACTTTGATAATTCCATTTTCATCACCTGTAACCCATTGTCCATGTTCTAAAATTAAAACACTAGATATTGGTGATTTTTCATGAGCTTGAAAACAACACCATGTTTGTTTTTCTGAAATGATATCATGTATTTTTAAACCACTTTGACTAGAAGCGGATACTAATAAATTTGGAGTTTTCGGGAAAAATGATAAACATCGTATAGTTTTATGCCAACGTTTTTGAATCAATGCTTTTATTGGATTCATATAATCAAATCTAAAAAGGTACGTGGATGATTAAATAAAACAATGAATTTTACATGCGAATTCTTCCATTACATGTTCCAATTGCAAGTATTGTTTTATCATTTACAGTTGCGAAATCAGTACAACTAATACCATCTAAACCAATTTTCAAATTGAGTTGATCAGTAGGATTCATGATAATTTTTTAAATTAGAATAACTAGAAGTTATGTTTCCAAAAAGTATGACTGTCGTTGAAATCAGCAGTGAATTAAACAGCTTTGATGAATTAATTCAACATTATCAGCATGAAAGTAAGCAATCAAAAGACTTTATTGGATGATATTTATTGTTTCAAATAAGCAGCTTATATATCTGGCCCAAGATTCAACGAACAAAAATACAACAATCTAAAATATAGAATAATAGGATAAAACTAAAAGAGTTGATTTATTTATTTTAAAGACATAATTACTAGCACAATAGACTATCAAAGTATATATGAACCACACGAATGATTGAACTCGTGTGTGGGCTGGGACACTGACAGATTTCCTTAGAGGGCTACTCCCTGAACCTACGACCTAGAGATTTAATCTGAGAGGCGGTGGAGATATAGTGCCATGGTAGCTAATAATCAACAACAGACTCATAAGCCATTTTTCCACCAGGATCCTGGAGCCCATGAGCACTAATGGTTTGGAATTGTGGTAGATTCTCCGTATACACTAGCTCAGTTTAAATCCCAGCTAGACATTCTCTTTCAGTCTTTTCAATTTCGTAAACAACATTTTTGATGCAAGAAGACTGAGTAGGACCTCCTTGGCCAGTGGTTATATACACGTGGAGATACGACAGTATTTTGAGAGGGTGAGAGGACTATCGCCACCGTCGACTGTAACAGGTAGGTAGGTAGGCTGAAGTTGATAATAATGGGAGATACATCTACGTTCAACCAGACATGCTTACTAGATAAGTAAAAGATTTTGAAACAAGTATACACAAATGGTTGCTAGAATAAAATTGATTAGAAATCCTTTTACACCGTGAATATAGAGATTGTCAACCATTTTGCAATTACGAACCAAAATAGAATTTAACGGTGATATATATTGTGAATTCAATTGAAACAGTATGCTTGTATGTGTATTTATAGTCACATTTTTGGAATGAGCCTACTTAAAGACTTTACAGTAGTGATAGCTTACCAAGGGTTATTTGTTAGAACCAGTTAGTTACCAGGTTTCTTTAGTTTACTTCGGAGTAAAACAACAAGTACATAACAGAACTGAGAAGTGCATTGAAAAAAATTCATATTCAAGTCTTCAACTATAAAACCAAAAATCTATCAATTTTAGATTCATTAAATGACAATCTCATTAGATATTTTAAGTGGATAATTTTAAGAAAATTAGACAAAAATTATCCTTAGATGGGAGTATTTCTCCGAAATTCTCACACATCGGGAAAATGTCATGAGTTGCTAATATGAAATCTCGAAAGTTTTACTTGTTTTTGGGCTGTTTTTCCGAATTATTTATTTTATTAACTTTAGTCAAATATTCATTTTCAAGTTGTTTTATACAGTATTTGTTTTTCAGCTAGCTTCACAAGTAATCACCAAGTGAAGCGTAAGTTTTTTTATAAAGTAAATATATTTACAAAACTTTTGTATATTTACCACGTCACTGTATATTATGTAAGCGTGCTCCGAATTCCTCATAACCTTTTTCCTCTTTTTAAATTTATTTCACTGGATTGTACTTCTTGAATAATACCTTCGAACTTTAATATCTATTACCACTAATACTTTTATTACGTCTACCACTATAGGATTTGAAATGACAATTCAAACTCTCTGTATGTTAATATGGTATGGCAACTTCAACTGCTGTTTGTACGTTTGAAGTTCTACGATGTAACTGACTGACTGGAAGCATGCATTTAAAGGCAGTTATTTGACTACTCTTAGTATAAAACAGTATCGGTATTACGTTGATGAAATTGAAAAATAACTTTGTTTTCTTTGTAGAAGACTTCTAATAGCAGTTTTGCTAGAACATCAAGAAGTGCACCTCAAATGAAATGAAACTAATGACAAATTAATCCTTAATATGTACATGTATTTCTGTTAAACAGTCTTTCTTAGGAAACAATAGTCTTCCAACAATTGCAGTGGTGAGAGATGAAGTTCACTATTAAAAGTTTTCAAACGTTATCATCCCCCAAGAATTGTTTATTTACTTCCCGAGTGTTTATGCAAGCTAAGTTACTCAAAATGTACGGTACACAAACAACCGTAGAATGCTTTTAGAACAGTTAATTTTTCGAAATCAATTGCAAATACAAGGCAAAATGGTTAGCATCTTGCAAAAAGTTTGGGCAGTAAACAATTTAGTATATATGATTTGAGGAGAACGTCTAGAAGATTTAGGGATTTTCCCCGTAAAATAAAAAAATTTGATGCTTCTCAACACCATTCAGTGGGCTTTCCCAACAGTCATTGGAAACTTTGGCGACTGTAAATCAGAGGAAATCTTGGGGGAGAATTAGCTGCATTTTCCCAAGGTTAACTACTGAAAACTTCACTAAAACTGGACAAATTATTCTTAAATTCAGGAGATTAGGTTTTTATGTAATATGCCATGTAATATTTCACGCTTTTTCACACGCTAAGATTTGATGTGTGCAAAAAAAATTCAGAGGATTTTTGAAGTCAGTTAAAACTTTTTCTATAAATCAAGGACCTCAGGAAACTCAAGTAAAATTTTAAAACAAGCAATAACTGTGCGATTTCATATCCGTGATTTATAGCATCTGAAGCTGCAAAATCAACGAAATAAAAGGAGAAATAGCATTATTAAGAGCCGGGTGCTGTTTTCCCCTCAGGAACGTTGGTTAATCTGAGGAAAAGTTTGTTTTTTTCACAGTATACAGGAGAATCTTGGGAAGAATTCCCAGATGAAGAAAGCCCTGGGGTTTCAGTCATATTTTATTAAACTTAATCCGAAATAGTTGATGTGGCATGCGTAAAATAGACTCAAAGTCGGTCTTTTTATTATTCATAAACTCGGATAAAACTCTTATATACGGGTTTAATAATAGTGGACACTTTGATGGACGATAATACGAATCACGGCTTACATTGCGTCTTTGTATCTATGAAGCTGAGGACTTCGGTGCATATGAACTATGAGAGACCTACGTTTTGGCTATGAGCGAGATAGGGCGTCGAAACCACACCGTACCGCCCGTCTTAAATAAGCATACTAATTCCTGAAGGACGAATGGTCACAATTTTATGCGACGAACAAAATAGAGGCTTCCGAAAAAATGCCATTACACTATCAAAACAGCACTGAAAGCCATTCAACTCATTTAATATAATCAGCACGCTATTAGAGTCTGTTAAGCGAGCCTTCTGGTAGAAGATCTACTCCTGAAAATTCAGACGAACATAATGTTATATCTAGGAGCATGTCTGAGAAAAAATTGAACAAGAATGGGGAAAGTAAAGATCCCTGACGGAAACCACTTGAAGTAAAGAATTCCGGTGACAGTTCGCCATAAGCTCTCACTCGAACTGTAGTGTTCGAGTAGAGAGCTTGTATGAGGTTAATGTACTTCTTAGGTCCAGGAAGACAACTATTGTAGGACGCCTAAATATGTGTCTGTGTTCCACGACCTGTCGTTGTGTGAAGATGTGGTCTATATAACCACGTCCTGGTCGAAAATCAGCCTAGTTTAATCGAGTCTGCTCTTCACGAGCTTTCGTTAAGCGTCGAAGTATTATAGAGGCCAATATTTTAGATACTAAATTAGTTAGACTTATTCCCCTGTGATTGTCACAACAAGACTTTTGTCCTTTCTTATAGATTGGGCAATCGTTGACTGAGATCACTCGGATGGGATTATTTCCAGTTCCCAGTTTCCACCTAAGATTTCAGTCAATCTATCTGCTAAAGCTGGACCACCATCCCTAAAAATTTCAGGGGTCAGTCTATCAGGACCTGCATCTCGCCCTCGCTTCAGATTTTTCATCGCTACTGAAATTCTCGGCTTCTCCCTAACCTTTTGGTTTACCTTACTAGCATATATCACTGCTGTTTCCACAGCCTTTTTTATATCATTCCAAGCTGTCTCTGGATAGGAATCGTTCAGATGGTCGCCCAACTGTTTTTCTAGTTGCTCCTGAAGTATATTCTTAGCTTTATTATCATTAAGTAGAGCCCTAATAGGTTTCCTTGAAATATTTTGCTTGCGTCCAGTAAGGCGCAAATAAATAGGCGCTCCCACTAGAGCATGGTCTGAGTCTAAACATGTGCTCCAGAATGAGCGGCAGTCTTCAACAGAGCCCATCCACCGATGGCCTATAGCAATGTGATTTAGTTGGGTCGGCTTCGGGGGTCTACATGTCAAAAGGTGTTTTACCCTATGCCTAATGTTAGTGTTTGCGAGAAATAGGCGGTCATCTGAGCACATTAGACGGTCGCAATTAGCCGCGACACCATAACATCCTCCCAGGTTTGTTTCCTTTTCGCTGAGTCTACCTACTTGAACATTAATCCCACCAGCCATTATTACTATATAAAAGCGCTTAACATTTTGGAGAAGTTTAGAGAGGTTTCTATATAACTTATTTTTCATGTTGTCTGAACTGCAGTCAGTGGGGCCATAGGCAGATATGGCGAAGAGGCAGCGGCGAGTGTCCCTATCCTTCCGAGTCCGTACCATCCCGTTTAGTCGGACAGCGCCTAAACGACTGTCTATCGGGAGCTGATCCTGCCCTATGACTGAATACTATACCTATGACGGCGAGGCCACGAGAAGTGGCATCAGGGCTCCCAGAAACACGAAGCGTAAATCTTGTTGTGTCTCTATCTGCACTAGGTGAGATCAAATTGATGATTTTACTCGAATTTTGTATGCGCGTTCTGGAGGTCCAATATACATCGATCGCACGGGATTCCAGAAATCTAGCCAATAAAGACGGTTGATCTATTTGGCACAAGGTTCGAACATTAAGATCTCCTGTATGTAATTCAGTAGGGGGCTTCAGGAGACCAGGAATAATATTTCGTGGGCTCATACCGTTTGCTTCAGTGGCGTGAGGTGATGAACAAGCAAAAGAAGGGTTGGTCGAGAAGATAAGAGAGTATTTAGGAGGTGTAGAAAGGTTTTGATTGTGACCGATTCGGTCTGTTACGGGTATGAGAGCGGATGTTACTTTTTGGCGGCCCACATCATGGGCACTTCTTGCGGAACTTGAAAAGGAAGGTAAATTAGCGTTGGCTTTAACGACCTGGGAGGGTGATCGCAAAGCCCAAGGGATAACTACTTGTGGCCGTTTACGCTCGGCCTTTTTATGATAGGATTTTTGAGTATTAGCTCTGCTCTTAAAAGCCCTTAGTGGGCACCCTTACCACTGGAGACGGAAATCCGTTAGGTAGTATTAAGTGTGACACTTTCAGGGTCGACCATTCCTAATACGTCTTTCTCTGTAAGAAGGCAGCATCGCTGCAGGTGCTGGTTGTCCGAGGGACACACCTTACTTCTGTCAAACCTCTTTACAGTCAGTAGTTCAACGTCGCCCTCAGACCTTCAGTAGCTGCTTTTAGTCTCATCGTTTTCCAATCGACCTGCTTGGCATGGTGGAACCTTCAGGAACAAATATTGCAGCCAATATAGCTCGGTCGGGTCATGACGAGCTACAGTCAGGCAGTAGCTGACCACCGGACTGTAGTTGGAAACGTCATTTGGAAAGCTATCACACACAATGTATCTCACACCAATTATGCACCTAGAAGGCAAGGTCCGGGTTAAAAGGAACAAAAATCTCCTGCTACCGGTCAAAATGAGAGCACAAGAGAGGTGTCTTTAGAATTGTGATCATTGTTATGACTTGGCATTGAGAAATAGATAAAGTGCCGAAATATTTATACGCTATTAATAGGAGAGGCGATAAGGCTCAACAAGGTGAACATTTATATTATGATTCGGTTACGTGTACTTTGACAGTTTAATAGCCATCATTTAGGAAAAATCTATTCTACTTTGGTTAAGAGACAAACTATAATGTACTAAACTATTAAATTTCACTTTATGTGTTACTGTTAATTCCAAATATTTCTACTATACATTATTAATTTGTTCAGTCTGCCAAGAATATTTTCTCAATATTGTGTTTATATTTTCTGATTGAATGCCTACAAACGAAGCCAGTATTATAAGAAATGGTAATCCTGTAGAAGGGTAATTCAAAGGAGCGAAACGTCCCCATCCAAGTGATATTCAAATTATATCTAGTCAAGAGAAAAGCCTATTTTCCTGCTTTTATTCCAGAATAAAAGCTTTCGAGAAGCAACGTTTAGTAATAAAGTAATTTTATGAAACATGTTCATTTCAAAGTTGGCACCCAACTGAAGGCGTAGCACGACAACTTTAGATGGCAGAAAGTATGTAAGCCAAATATACTACATTTGATTTATCTACAAATTAGCATCTGGCCTCTGCAATATCTCTCGTTGCATCTTCGAGACCACTGCTAGAAAGAGTGGACAGCACTCGAAAAAGATAGTTGAGGATATAAAGCCCTGATCAGCTATTAATGTAAAGGTTCTTTATAATCAAAATAAAACCATACATACCATGGTCACTTACTGGCTTTTAAATCACGCAAACTCATGTAGAGAAGAAAAAATATTCTACTGTAGTACATTGGGTACCTGAAATGATAAGTGAATCTATGAATACTAGACGCCAATGTGTTATGGGTCAACTTCAGCATACTCCAGACTGATACAATCTAATTACCGTACTCGCCAGCTGTCGCAAAACTCCCTGTACCAGCAAGTCTCACATCATCGCCATAACCTATGTTACTGAAAAAGTTATGAATTTGCCTGACATGAAAGATAAGAAAGAATTCTCAAGATAACTTCCCTTACTGTTTATTGAGAGACTGATTATCGGGGACCTTGACTCAGACTTAAACCCAGCTGCTTCTAAATACGCTAGGGTGAGGTAGTACATTGGGTAGAGCATTCCAGCCTTCCCCACAGAGTTTAAATCACACAACGGAGAAAAACCTCACAGAGATATTTTAAACCCCAAAAATAGCATACGTTTCGTGCCGACAGCATTCAAGAAACAAATTTAACTCATAAAGTAGCTTGCAAAAAGTAGTTAACGATAGTAATGTCCTAGCCTGTAAAATTAAATTTTACGTCTGAAACAAACTTCAAATACCACAGTTGCACCAAATGACAAAAACGACAGTTTCCAAAACAGCAGATTAACACAATAATGACCTGAGGTCAGAATTCGCAATACAGTTGACTAACTGTCAATCTCCCACTGAAAAAACCTTAAATAATTTGATCCAGCTCACATAAATTAGCGATGACAATTAAAACTTAGTATGAGATTACAAACGTAGGTAAGTTAAACCTCCAACCACGGTAACGATACTATCGGCGAAACAAGGCTAACGTCATGGTTATTTGTGAAAAAATATATTATCATTGTTATTACTATGAGGTGCATCATCTGTCTCGAGTTATGCTGACGGCGAAAATGAAGTTTATTCAGTCATTCACTCATGGATATTGCCAGTGACTATGACGAGCGCCGGAAATGCTTAAAAAATAAGCGGCGGATCATCAGTTCAAGTGAGTACAGTGACTCAAACATTATGATCCTTCATGGGCCCGAATAAACTAAACGGATTAGTTGGTGGCTTACTACTTGGTGATACCTTCTGAAACATCTCACTGTTTTCCTTGAAAACTCGATCATCCATCCATCTGTAGTGACCAAGTGAGAATGCAAATCGTTATGAACGAACTCTTACCACCTGAACCTAGACACGAAGGAATACAGAGATTTTATGAATACCTAGAATTTGATTAGGCTTTCGTCTGTAACGCACTGATAATTCCGAATCCCCAGCCCTACCAAAGAGCTCAGAATGAAGGTGGTTAGAAGATAGTAAGCCGAGACATCCGTAGTCCAAACAGGCTAGTTGAAGAGAAGCTATCCAGACTACTGCGTACACTTTTGAAAAACAGTTTGGGATATTTATGCTGTGTCATTTAATAGACGGTTATAAGTGAAAAAAATTTCTATAAATTCCTGTCAGCAACAATTCAAGAATTACTGCTGGACCTAAATGTGGACAAAACAACTCACTTTCAGTTGTTTTTGAAAAACACGCATTATTATGTGAACTAAATTTCCTTGTTAATTCGCAAGTTGTTGGGTGCTTATAAAACTGTATAGCTACATATATGGATTCTAAAATGGATAGGTTCATTCGGTTCAGTTGCATGTCAAATAAGTCAGTCCGTTAGGAAATGTCTTTATTACAACTTAGTATATGAAATACATCACCTGTGGAGGAAACATCTTCAGCACATCTTTGTTTTAGCCTTCAAAAGAACTCCTTTCATTTCATCATGAAAATTCTAAGGACGACCCATATTTATTTACTCGGTGCCCAGATGTGATGACCTAGTTTAGTGTCTGACAGCACTTGTCTGACATTCTTGTTTGGGTAATACAGAAAAAGCAGTAAAGCCTGAAACTTGTCCTTGCTCAGCACAACGTGTCTAAGAGTCGGTGAGAGCTTCGGTATATCATAAATTTGACTCATGAGAAATCCGAAAGCACTTAGGAACAATGTGACTAAATTTGGGTATGAAACTTTCATGCCACACTGGTAAAAGACTTATTTACTTAGTTAAGCCTGTTGTCCGAAATCGAGCATGGACTGACAACTATCATTCCCCAACCAACTCTGTCCTGAACCTTTATTTTCCAGTTCTGTCCAATTCTTTTTCATTCCTCTGATGTCTGCGTCCATTGTTTAGCTCACTTTGTTTCTTGACCTACCTCTTTTCCTGACACATTAAAGATTCAGCGTTAGTGCGTCACTTAAGACTCAGCTGGGTGCTTTTCGCAATTTATGTTCTATCTACGTTCAGCGCTTTTTCAAGTTTCTTCCACAGCTAAATTGTTCTTTGCTATAGTAGGTTGCTGCTGATGCTGTCTGGAAAATGAATACTCAGTATCTTGCTTAGACGACTATTAATAAACACCTGTATATTTTGGACGGTGGTCTTATTAGTTCTTCAAGTTACCGCCCCATACATTAGTAATAACTCAACGTTTGTATTTAAAATCTCACTTTGATGTTGGTTGACAGTTGTTCTGAGTTCCGGATGTTGTTTATTTGTGTAAATGCTGACCTTGCTTTACTGGTCTGCGCTTTCACATGTGCATCTTATCCACTGGGTTCATCAATGATGCTATCCAGGTATGTAAGGGTTTCTACAACTTCCAAAGCTTCTGCATCAGGTGTGATTTGATTGGTGGATGTTGTGCTGTTTCGGAGGATATTGCGTTTTTCCTTACGAAAGTCAAGACCTACTGCGACAGAGGCTGCCTCCACAGTGGTCCTCTTCTCCTGCATCTGTTGTTACGTGTGCGATAGAAGAGCTAAATATTCAGGAAAGTCCGGATCGTCAGCCGCATCCCAGCCGTCTACTGTATTCCATGTCTCTTCCCAGATGTTGACGTCTCCATAAACCAGATGATCGCGAGGAGAAAGAGAAAGGATGAAGTTAGCAATCTTGGCCGACACCGGTCTTCACCTCGAACGGGTCTGTCATCTGTCCTCCGTTCATGATTTTGAAGTTTAATCCATCATTAGAAATGAGTACAATGTTGACTATCTTCTCACGCACGCCGTAATGTTGAAGAAGCCTCGATAGTGTGATCCTGTTCACGCTATCAAGTGCTTTCTTATAGTAATGAAATTGGTGTAGAGTGGTGAGTTGCATTCAATTGATTGTCCCACAATGGTCGTCTTGATTTTATTCGGTACACTATCGATCCTCACGTAATCCAGTTTCCTGATTTCTAAGCTGTATTGATTATTTCATTTGGCTCCATTACACCCTGCTTAAGATTTTCCTGCCATTTTTTTCCTGATATCAGTACATGGGTTAAACACAAATCATGGCTAACACTAGCTGGTTATGAATATACTTTACCCATCACATAGAAACTGCAAACTTGTTAACCACTTAGCGTACCACCTCAACACAAACGAAAGTTACCCAAATGTGACAGAACTGGACAGTAGTGTTCTTTGACTTCCTTATGAGAATATACGTCAAGCGAGTCGAAGAAGAGCTAGTGATGGCTGGTATGAGCAGTGTATATGTTTTATATCCAGAAGTGGCACGATGAAACAATTCTAGTTCGACTAACCAGAGCAGGAGAATTGGCATGATAATGATGTTTGATGAATAAATTCAATTAGCTCATTACCAGTAGAATTGACCTTGTTACTAAAAATGTGACCCAGTAGCATAAACACTTATAACAGGCAATCATTTACCACGATATAAACTCAACAGGGAAAGCTATTTATGTTTATATGTCTCCTAAGTTTCGATCGCAATTTTGTACTGATATCACACAAACACTTCATAAAGCCAACCCTCCTAACTGTTATGAACGAGGGATGTTGGAAACCGCAAGGTCGTCCCAGCTTTGCTCAAGGTCGGCTAGGCCATGTGAGTTAAACATGAAGTTTGTCTTGTTCGTCTTATTTTGAGCTTTACATGAACGAAATGATTCGTGGTGAGTGCATTAAAATGTAAAGCTGTGGCTTTGGTGCATCTTTATCGTTACTGTAAGAACCTTAACATATCCTACGTGTTGTGATTAGCTGTTTGGAATTTTCACGTTTCATCCAAATTATTTTTGTTGCAATGGTCATCCGAAGTCATCAGTGCTCTAATCAAAGCAGATAGTTTCCATAGAAGGCCCTTCTTTGAGCTCGTAATGTACAGATCTAGTCCACGAACCAGTGGGGCAACGGTAGGAGATACAGTCATATGTAACCAGTGACCAAGTTCAGGTTCATACTCCACTTGTTTCGTCAGAATCACCGAGTCCATGTGCACCATATGTTCGAAATCAGGGTGTTGTTTCAGAAGCTTGGAGGATGAAAAGCGAATGTCCGGCGCTCAAACATGGTTGGTTGGTGCAGATGTCCCACCTAAGGGAGGGCTGTAAGACCCTGATTGCAAATCAGTAGCGCTCATGGGCCGCAGGATCCTTTGTGCCAATAGTTATATGTTCCACTAAATAGAGTTACCTTAGTCACAGTGAATATAAAAGTATACAACAGTGCTCATATTCCTGACGTGAAAATCGGCCAATAGTCATAGAATTCAGTTAAGTTCGCAAAATCGGTTGCAAGTGGAAGAGAAACTTTATATGCAGCAGTCAAGTTCATGTGATTTCTTGAAAATTAGTGAAATTTCTGGATAAATTTTAAGGAAAACCGAAAATCTTAAAATCGCAAGTCATTCCGTAGAAAATACCAAAACCAGTAGAGATTTTCAGAGTTTTTAGTTGTTTTTCTTTAAAATGTTTTATCTGAGCTCCTCAAAGTCTTTATGAAATTTCCAATAGTTGTGAGATTGTGTTGTAATCACGAAAAATAACACCGAACTTTATTATGACTTAAGTCACTGGGTGATATTTAGTGTCCGAAATGTCACAGTTATTCTTACTTTGTCTGTTCGATATATAAAGATAGAACTACCTGTGTAATTGGTAATCAACTTTCAGAAACATTGAGTAAAGTGCTGATATTAACTGGAAATATCCCTATATCATTATTCTCGGCTAGTTCATATCATTATACTGTCACCCACCTGTAGCTGAAAAGCAGACGCTATATCATAAAAGACTCATCTGAATGAATTAAACAATAGTGGATCTAATATCGTCACCGGCAACTGGATTGAGTTATGTTGGTAGATGTAGACTACCTGGTTGGGGTCCACGGGACATTAGTAACCGATGGTTCGAGACCTTGAACGACATGGCTCAAAATCGTTTGCAATGGCACAGGTGCATCCGTTTATCTTCTCACATATCCTAATTTTTTGAATTCCTCATTACCTTTGTCTTTCTTTTTTAAGGTTCATTTAATTGGGATATATTTTTTGAATAATGTCTTCGAATCTTAGTCTCTCGGACTACTGCCAATACTTCTAATACATCTACCACTATGGGATTTGAATTGACAATTCGATCTCTCTGTGTTAATGTGGTATGGTAACCTGAACTTATGTACGTACGTACGAAGTTCTACGTTGTAACCAACTTACTGATTGTCGTTTGTGTTGGACCGGATTCTAGAAAAACCAGATCTTATTTTGTTACTGACCAGTAAAAAATTCGTTGACCTAATTAAATAAATAGCTAAATTTTCAGTCAAATATTGGATCGTTTTTTGATGACAAGTTTTATAAGACAAAAGCTTAATACAACTTTTCATTAAAACACAATAGCATAAACATATTCAAATCCCATTGTAGTAGAAGTATCATCAGTAATGAAGAAGATTAGAGTTTGAAGATATGATTCGAGAACTATAACCCAGTGAAATAAATTTAAAAAGAGGGTAAACTTTCATGAAGAATTCAGAAAATTAGAATTTTTAGAGAAATATGGATGCATTTGAGCCATTGCAAACCATCATTCAGTCTCTAACCATCAGTTACGATTATCTTGCGGACTCCAACTAGGTAGTTTACACCTACTAACATCACTCATTTCATAATGACTTCACGGATTTGTGACTCTTCTTTTGGTTTGACCGAGTATATCTCTATTAAACTTTGTTCTATTCAATCAATTTAAATGTTGTACATTTAATAAAATCAATGAAAAAAATACACTGTCAGCAAAAACCTACAGTGGGAGAGAATAAACCAGGTTCCTGTGGAGAAAGAAGCACTGGAAGTGGATAAGACATACATTGAATAAAGCACCCAACTGCGTCACATAACTAAACCTTGCTTAGATCCCTCAAGGTCACACGAAAAGAGGAAGACCAAAGAATACATATCGCTGAGAAATGGAGACATACACGAGAAGAATGAACAACAGGTGGACGGAACTAGAAAGGAGAGCGCCCAGAAGAGAGTGGGTTGAAGAATGCTGATCAGTGAACTTTGTTCCATTGGAGGTGATAGACGTAAGTAAGTTAGTAAGTAACTTTTCATAAAATACAACCTGTTTTTTTAACTGTTCAACTTACTCAATATTAAATCATAATCACATTTCTTTCAGAATATACTACTGTGTGTATGTTGTACATACTTACTCTAAAGTAGTACCTTTTTAGTATCATGACTAAACAGGTGAGTGTTTTTGTATTTTTCCTTTTAAAAGTGCTTGTTCCTTCTTTGTTTCTTTTCACCAGTCCAATGAATTATCACTATTTGACTCGTATCAAATTGTGTATGATTTAAAAGAATACAATATTGAATTGAAGCTATTCATTCTGCGATTAAATCGTGGCTTATTCATTTGGTTAGGCAATCAAGAGAATAAATTATCTGGTAATATGAAAAAAAAATTCTTATTCAATAATTATTTCATTATGATTATTATTATTAGGTTTATCCGTGTGTTTACCTTCATCATTATCCATGTTGAATCAACATACTACTACAATTTATTCAGTAGCTGATAATAATGCACAACATTCATTTGGTGATTATGAAGAGAATATAGCATGTAAAATTTCCAAACGTTTCAATTGTCCCACATTTGTTAGTATTAGTTTACCATATGAATTTACTGTATTATGGAATAAAATCAATGTGTTGACACAAAATACATTTGGTCAAAAAGTGGAACAATTTATCATTGATAATTTATCGACAATTAAATTTTTATGATAATTATGATATATATTTTGTTGTATGATATTAAAAAAAGAAACTAGTCTGATTATTTGTTGTATTTATAGTTCATAAGTTGCATTTTGAATGTGACGCAATTTGTGTTAGTCGGTTACAGTGTAGAACTTGGTACCGACATACATCGATTCCAGTTGCTGTACCATATTAGCGCGCAGAGAGAGATTGAATTATCCATTCAAACCCAGTAGTAGTAGTAGAGGTTGTAGAAGTATTATCAGTGATCGAAGAGATTAGGGTTCAGAGATATTGTTCAAAAAGTATAATCCAATAAAATAATTGTGAAAAGAGAGATGAAAATGATAAGGCATTCAGAAGATTAGAGTTTGAGAGAACACAAAGAATCAATGTATATACGCTATTGCAAACCATTTTAAGCCATGTCATTCAAAGTCTCTAACCATCGGTTATTATTATTATCTCGCCGACTCCAACCAGGTAGTGTATACCTATCAACATCGCAAACTCCACTTGTCAGTGACTTCATAGATTTGTGACTTGGTCTTGGTCTGACGTCCCTAGCGTTCTTCTAGACAACTCCTAAATCAGACAACATTGCTCGTGGGAGCAGTCAGTGGTTGGGTATTCGTAAGACATGTACCAACCACATCAACTGATGAAGATCCACTACTTTGTCATTTGAGATGCTTGAACCTTAGTCGGAAAACGAGAGCGAGGATCTGGCGACACGTCATGCTTCTCTAATCCAATTGCTCCAACTCCCCATTGTGTAAAAGAGGAAGGCTTGATATGAAGCAGGACCTGTATCCTGCAGAAAGTACGAGGTCCGAGTCCAGAAAAAGCTAAGGATCCCGGACTAGGGATCCGGGTCCGGGTCATAAAACGTTACAGATAATGCGTATTTATACAGTTAGGTCGAATAGAAAACAACGTCGTAGTCTGTGACATTGACAGTTAGGGTGACTAATAGGCAAGTACATTTGAAGTGACACTGATAGTCAGGACAACTAGTAAGAAACAACATTGAAGTACGTGAAATTGATAGCTAGGATAACCATAAAATTGACCAACAGGAATTAACCAATAGGAATTGATCAATAATTCTCTTAGGATATTGGATAAATATCCTAACACTAGTACATCAATCAGCTCATGTTTTCATATCATATCACAGTACAGTGGCACATAATAATGATCATGATAAATAATGAAGTAGCAGAGATGGTAAAAACAACGATGAAACATAGGGAGTATGGTTCTGGAAGAAAATTAGTTTATGGAACAAAAGGTGTAAAGTAATTTCCGAACTCAGTACATGTGTCTAGACAGGGAATGAATAATGTATGACACACTGCGACCAATTCTGAACCCTTTCACTTCATATCTCCAACCACTTATCATGTTAATCGTGCGGAATCTAACCAGTTAGTCCTCCACCTACCAAATAATTCAATTTTTGTGTAACCTCTCAGCCTCTCTTCCAGCCTACTTCCACCTCAGCTAAAATTACACGTCAAAGTAAGCTATACATCATACTGCTACTCTACATACTTCTTCACCATCAAATATGAATATATCGCCTACGCCTTATGCGACATAAGTTAGCAAAAGCTGAGCGAACTTTCCTAATATATTTCGGATTATTGTTGAACATCTACCTGCAAGTACTAATCAGGCTTCTAAGATGACTGAAGTGGTCGATGGGCTTGGCTACCGTTCTCTGGGCTCCCAATTACTATATCTAGCCCTCAAGTGCATATAGAATTGAATTAACTGAATACATAGAACTGATTAGCCTTATCTTATTAAATGGAGCTCAGGGCATGATTAAGTAGTATTTTCAACATAAAATGACTATGATTATTTTTATTACATTCAATTTTGTCTATTCAACATTCACTATAGTTTTTATAGAATTTAAAGGTATATTTAGTTAAGTTGTCGTCAGATTAGACATTAACACTGGATTACCAGCTAGGCGGTTAAGCATACTTGCACGAAATGGATACGCACTACTAAAGACGAATTCTATGACAAAAGGTGTTGTTCAATACTTTCAGATTCTCAATGGCTGTCAACCTAAATCAGTTCTTGGTATCAATGAAATTCAACATTCCGTCCAACCGTATTACCGAATATTGATTATCTGCAAGACAGAATCCCATCATGTCGAATCATGCTGTCAGCGTTGAAGCTCAATGATAATCCAAGAGCTTAGTCTAACCTCAAATGCATTTTTTACTTTGATTATTGTTGTTGAGCTGGTATGGACTTGTATGCTTGGGCATTGCTTACCTATCGCCTACGCACATTAATCGTTCAAATCATTCGATAACAGGATGGACTATTTTATATTTTGAAACCATGAATCGATCATTGTTAGACTACCACCATTAGAAACCTGGAAGCACTGGACAGTCGTTTCGTCCTGGTATGGGACTCATCAGCACTGCGCATCCATGACACCTGCACCCCGGCAGGATTCAAACCCAGGACCTTTTTGGTCTTGTTGCTCGAATGCGCTAACCTCTCGGACTTACTGAGGCCGTGTGATGTCTGTGATGTCTAGTAACAAAAATTGATAAATGTATCACTCATTATATTTTTGAATAAATAAACTGTATTGTGACAAAGAGTCTCGTTTTGTAACACCAGTTGTCCAGACGGTCGATATGCGAAGTTTAGGAACACATTGAGTATCCACCAACCAAAGCTTTAAATATAAAGGTCATCAGACAGCTAATCAATTTTTTTTTCACTGGTTGGAATTTCTGTCGAGTTTAGACTAGTATCAACATATTTAGATAATGAAACAGCCAACTTTGCTTCTGTTTCAATAAAAATTGTATTTTAATGATAATTTAACATACCAGAAATTTTTCTCCTCATATTTATGTGTTTACATGTGGAACAGTAATTTGTAAATAGTTTTGAACAATAAACCTTTTTTTTTCCAGAGACTTAGTTAACATGAATTGTAAAGTTAATCGTTAATTAGCATTGCCTATAATTATCAGTTTCGAGACGAGAATAAAATTTTTCAGACTAATTATTTGAACATATTAACTAGACCGAAATTTTGGTCTCTTTTTTTCTTGTAGGCTTGTAAAGTACATGTTTTATCATTAAGTTTTTCTAGGATGATAGTAAACTAAATTTTTGTATTTTAATGGTATCAAAATTGTTTCATACAGTTAGGATAACATGTCTTCGACAATACGTGTTTCAATCAATTTTGTCTCAAAATACAATCTTGATCATTGAATGCTCATTTTGAATATGCTGATTGGTGCATTGTCAACCAATCAGGGTTAAGAAAAGATAGTAGAATTGTACATAAACTCTAGTGCTTCTTCTGGTCGTTCCAGCAGATTAATGTTTGTATATACTTATATCTTTTGCGAATCATTCTTTTTCCCGGTTTTTATTATGTTAAATATCATTCAACGGTTTAAAAAGTACGATTAGAAGATGAGGTTTATTATTATTAGTTTCGAAAAGAAATAGCTTGTTCAAATCAAACCAAAAATATAAGATCAGCTCACAAAATCATCAATTACTAGATGGAATGAGTTAGACCTCATGAGATAATTGGTCAGTCTGTCAGCTACAACGTAGAACTTTGTAAGTATGTATGTACATACATACATCAGTTCAAATTGCCATACCATATTATCACGGCGATGCAGTTATGAATTCAAATCCTATAGTGATAGATATTGTAGAAGTATTAGTGGTTAATGGAAGATATTAATTCAGGAAGTATAATACAGTGAAAAAAACTTTTTAAGTTAAGAGGAAGATAAAGGCAATGAAGAATTCAGAAGATGATATAAAGGCTCAAGATGATAATGAACAATTCGAAAGAGTTGTCGACAAGTCATAGAAAAATTAAGACTGAGCTATTCTCGTATAGTGCCATACTTTTGTTAACTATCGTACTAATCATATTTATTGCC